AACAAATTTACTTTGATTGATTTCTTTTACCTTTCTACTTATAGAGATACCTTTTACAAGAGAAAATACACAGTCTAAAAGGGCATACTCTGGGTATTTTTGTTGAGTATTGTTCCATAACATATTCTGAAGCCCTGTTATAGAGATACCTTTTACAAGACCTTCAAAGGAGTTTATAATATGTTAAAAGAGAAAATACACAAGCTAAAAAGAAGACCAAGTCGATGAAGAACATGCTAAGAGGGCATACTCTTTTTTTTTGTGTTGAGTGTTGTTTTATAACATATTGTAAAGCCCTGTCGAGATCTTGTAAAAGATATTCTCTATTAAGAATAAAATAGGAGATATCAAAGTAAATTTTTTCTTGTATTATATCTTTTGTTTTGTAACCATGTAAGATTGTGTTTTCTGGTATAGATAGAACAACATTTATACTGTTATTTAGTCTTCTCAGTTGATAAGTCATTTCTAATCTCCCAATGTGGGTCTTACTTTGCTGCATCATTGCCCGAATTCTCTGCAATTTCATTCTTAGCCCTTTTCGTTGCATCATATATGAAGCCCACGGAGGGCTTATCAACATCAACCAAGCGCAAGACCTTCACCAAAGGAATAAATACTAATATTGTATGCTTCACCCCACACCAAAAATATTTCGAAAGAACAATATCTCGTGCCTTCTTTCCCTTGGCATCTCTAGACCACTTACACCTACTCCAATCCTCTGAAGCAAACATAGAACTTAATGTTATCCTCCTCCTATACATGCTTTGTAGACTAAGGTAGGCAGTGGCAAACCTAATGACCCCAGGCCTCACTAGATCTCTCTTCTTTGTAAACTGGCGCATCATGCTAAGGGTAAGTATGTGACTGTATATGAAGATTGTCACCTCCTTAGCCTTAGAAAGAATTCCTTTAATAGTAGGCAAATCACTAATGGCCTCAATCATAACATCTACGCAATGTGCAGCGCAAGGAGTCCAAAATATGCGAGGATCTTTCTGTCGAAGCAAATGACTTGTAGCTAGATTGGGAGCAGCATTATCTGTGACCACTTGAATTACAAGTTCCTCCCCGGCCTCCTCAATGCCCTTATCAATGAAAGAAAATATATAATGAGCTTCATGAATATCATTGGAAGCATCGATTGATCGTAAAAAAACTGTACTTGAGGGGCAATTTACCAACAAATTCATGTTACTCCTCCTCCTCCCATCACTCCACATATCTGTCCAAATTTAGCCTATCCCTCCTTTTGGGTCTTGAGATATTCGTTAGTATACTCAACTTCTTTCTTCAGTAGTGGCTCTCCAATCTTATATTCGTTAGTATACTCAACTTCTTTCTTCAGTAGTGGCTCTCCAATCTTATATTCGTTAGTATACTCAAATTGCCCAATTGCTTCCAACATTGTATGCAAGCTATTCAAGCGAGTGATGTTAAAAGAAATGCCCGCATGGTAAAACCACTGAACAATATACTGAATCACCCTACCTCTATCTTCCTTCTTAAATCTATTTTTAATTGTCATTTGTTTTTTCCCCTTTCTTCCCTTGCCTTTCTCAATTACTGACGCAGGGCTAGGTGTAAAAAAACTATCTATAGGCCCTCTCATACGAGGCTTCTTAGACCCAAAAGCTCTCTTGCTCTTAGAGCTCTGAGTACCAATCATGACTATCTCTTCTTCCCCCTCTTCAGCCTCTTCTTCGGTGTCAATGATATAATAAAAAACATGGACCCCTGACTTTAATTCTGCTATATCCTTTTTTTTTGAAATTTTTTACTCTTTTCACCTTCAATGTATTCAGAAATTTCTTTCTTTACAAGCTCTGGGACTTTCTTACATGGGGCAACATCACCTTTAATACCAGCAAGTTGTTTTTTAAATCAATTTATGCCGGCATTAGAAACATGTCCACATAAATTGCACATAAGTTTATTTGTATCATTCTTATCCACGTTGACACAATATTTTCATCCAGGATCTCCGCCCCTAGTAGATCCCGCGAAAGACATCTCAAATTGAAAAAATAAAACTCAAATAAATATTACAGTTTGACCTTTTCTGTTACCTCAATCGAGCTACTAATCAACTAAAAAGTCTTTTAATTCCACCAGTAGCACTCTAAAAATAATTTCAACGAGGAAAGAAAATTTTTTCAATCCACAAAAAGCACTTTCAATTTTCAAAAATTACTTTAGATTCTCATAAATAAGTTTACAAATTGAGGGTTCTTTTTTTTTTTTTCCACTTTGGGGGTTAAAAATAAACCCCAAAACGTTTTTATACAAACTTGGGGTTCAAAATGACCCCCTTTGCCCTTTTGAGCAATTTTAAAAATCGAAAAAGGCCTTACGACTCTGGGCGCCCGCCCAGGTACAACCACCCGTGTAGGAGGATCGAAAACTTTAGCAGCAATATATAAAATTTATTGTAGAGTATTAAACACCTTAAATCCAGAAAACTGGCAAATAGGTAGTGAAGGATACACTCCTCTACTTAAGTTAAATTTTTTAATAAAACTATAGTACCTAATTAGATAAAATGAAACGAAGTATGATTACCAGAATATTGAAAATTAATTTATGCTACTATACATAGCACAGGAAAAAAGTTAAGAAATCTAGCATAGGAAAAAAGTTCAGAAATCTGAAATTGAATCTTTGAAAGAATTGCAAGAAGAAATTTCGGAATTTCTTTTAAAAACATTTCGAAAAAAATGGAGTCTTTTGGGCTATCTACTTCAGAAGAATCTTCCTCTAATATATGAAAACTCACAGTCCCATAAGGGTTAGTTATCCCCTTTATATTCCTTCCGAAGAATCAAAACATTTGAATGTAATGCCTTTAACAAAAGAATTTTAAATAGATAAACAATTTTTAATGAAAGAATTCTATCCAGATTCAAACAAGAAAAAGAAAAATATTCTTGTCTTCTCATTCTAAAGAAGAAAAAAGAAATCCAACAATAACCTTATTGATTTTTGAGAAATATTGATTTTTGAATGGCCTGAAGATTGGTAGTTTGAGCAATTAAACGTAATACAATAAATAAAACTTTAAAATCATGGTTTGCTAATGAAATTAAAATAGTTGAAGCAATACACTTCGGTTATAAACCAAGAAAATAATGTCTTGGCATGACCTGTTAGAGGCATGACTAAAAGGATATCAGGGTTAAATGGATTAGCTGATCGGAAAAATTATACTAATATTTATTTTGAAACTATAGGATCTCAAATAGAATTAGATTTATATTAAACATTTTTTTAAAAAAAGAATATGATGCAGTAAAATGTAGAAAAGAGGCCAAAATATGTTCAATAACCATCAATACAGGTACATTCTCAAGAAACAAATCATCAATATAGGTCAGTTTTGAGTGGATAGGACTTTCTTTGTGCAAAAAAGTGACCCCAAAACCCTAAATAGGGCTTTTTGGTACTATTCACAGTCTATTTTTACTGTTCACACCCCAAAAAGTGTTAGAAACCCTAACACCCTAGGTCATTTTATTACATTATGATAAAAAGAGACAAAAACTACCCCTACTTAAGTTAAAACATTTTGAAAAATACCCCATAAGTCCATTCGTTTAAAATAAAACATAAAAGATCCCTAAATTACCCTAAGTTTAATTTAAACACTAGAAATAACTATAAACTGCAAAAGCAGCAATAAGCTAAAAATAAACTCCTTCAAAAAGTTGGCCTTCTCCTCCTAGATCTCCTAGCGACCTTGGGATGTGGATCATCTTAAAAGGGGTCATCAAAGGATGGATTGATTAGATCAAAGGCTCATGTGAACTTTCTTGACTAGTCAAAGGACTGTCAAGTGCGTCAGAATATAATCCAATTAAAAAAATAGAAAGAATAGTATTTGCAATAAATGGAAAATAAACCTAAATCTATGAGAAATCTTGGTCTAAAACCTCTAACTATTATGCCTTCTTCTATGCCCTTAGAAACTCAACTTTGAAAGGCACCATTAAAAATTTCTGAAAAAGAAAACTTATTGATCGATAAATTATGAAAATTATGAATAGAACAAAACAATCAAATTAATGTAGTTGTAGAATAAGCATCTCCTTATTCAAGTTCCGAGGATGAAGACTCTAATTTTCCTGTGAGAATTCTTAGATCATAGTTCAGAAAAATGAGAAAAAAATGTCTTTCCATTTTAAAACCCAATCTAGTTATGCAAATTTCTAGAAAAAACAATTACTATAAGAGACCTAGAGATGTATAGTTTGAAGAACATTGAGACGTTATTGTTTCTCATTTGCAGGAACTGCCATATAATTTGCAGGAATTGCCATATAGTTTGCAAGAATTGTATTCTATTTGTATTTTTCTTTGTTATACTTTATGTGGCGTACCCCCACAGATTTTTGGTTTTCCTGTGCGTATGTGTGGGGTTACACCTACTTTTTTTTTAAGGCCACCACTCTGTGGTTAGCCTATTATTTGATATAGAACCCCCATCTAGTGGGTGGTCTCTATACCCCCTCCCCCCCCACTTATCCACGCTATATTATTCTTTTTCACTTGATACAATACCGTTAATAGTTTCCAAAAAAAAAGAATTGCCATATTAGAATGGAATATAGATGGATTATTTGATTATCAAATAATAAATGTATGTAGAAACATAACTACGTTTGTAAATGCTTGTATGATTAAAGGAAGTAACGATCATACTATAGTAAAAAATAAAAAAAAATTATCTCAGGTCTTCCCCCGATTTGGTTGAAGCACGGAAGTGCTTCCCGTTCATGACTAAACCGAATAAATATCCGTGGCGAATTTGACAACATTAGTCCAAATCCCTGCATTTGTGCATTCGCCCAAAAAATGTATGTTTATTCTGGGGCTAACCATCCTTACGAATGAAGTTCTTTCACCATGCTGAATCCAAGCTGTTTAAGTGAGCAAATCCTGTTTTATAAATCAAGACCAAACAGTTTTCTATAATGAATTATAGAAGTTTTTGTTCGCAGGCTTATGGTCCTCAAGATAAGCTCGAAGTTTGAACTACGGCGGTTTTGCCGCACTAGTGGTGCTGTGGCTCTTGTGAGTATGCTGCTGTTATATTGTGTATTGTGACTTTTATTTGCAGAGTGTTTGATATCTTTTATTTATTTATTTTTATTCGGAACAGTTGAAGCTTCAACAGCCAAATCCAGATGAGCTGGGATATGTCGATTCTGTTTCTGTTGAGGAAATAGGTGGTGTTCGGGTAATTTCTCGGCTATTGTTGTAGAGAATATTCGCTGCTTCTCAGATACCTTTTCATTTTCAAGCCTCTCAAACTCATGGGGTTTTAGTGCCTTAGGTATTTGACATTGTTGTTTTCATCTTTCTTGTAGGTTACAATTGCTAAAAATGAACAGGGTGGGAATTTGGTGTCAACAGTGGTTCTTCGGGCAAGCACTGATAGCATATTGGATGATCTGGAAAGAGCAGTTGATGATGGAGTTAATACATATAAGGCATGTTTCTTTTTTCTTTTGTTTTTCTGTTCGATATATCTTACGGGGTGAATAAAGTTAAAGTGGTCAATTTGTCTTCAAAACTGAAATTCATGTTGCAGGTCAAGTTTGTCGCCCAGGTTCATCATTGTGGAAAAGGTTAAAACCTTGGAAGTGTACTTTCTGTTACAAAAAAGTAATACTATTTAATAAATAATTGGGATAATAATTCCCATAATTCTATGAATATTTAGCCAAATTCTGGATATAAGGGCTGGCCTACAGATGTCCACATGGCAATTGCCAAAATTCCAGCTGAAATTTGCCAAATTTTTTAGACTTGCATAGACTGTTTGGAATGAACTTTTTTTAACACACTTTTCAGTTTCTCTCTCTCTCTCTCGTATGCACATTCTAAGATATCTGTGTCTCAGGCCATGTGCAGAGATAGTCGTATAGTTCCTGGAGCTGCTGCCACTGAAATTGAGTTGGCAAAAAGATTGAAGGAGTTCTCTTATAAAGAAACTGGGTAACATTTCCAGTCTTTTTTTTCCCCCTCAGTTATTTCTGATTCTCAGAATATATCTATAATGTGTGTATATGGTTCCCGGCACATTCTAGAAGTGTGTAAATTTTCTTTTATTGACCTCTCCCAGGAGAATAACTTAGTTTGTTAGCAATTTTAGCAGGGACTTTTGTATTATAAATTATTTCTTTTATTGACTTCTCCCTGGAAAATGGCTTATTTTGTTAGCAATTTTAGCAGGTACTTTTGTAGTATAAATTATTTGTTATCTTGGTTTTATCATTTCTTTTGTCGGTCCCACTCATTGGGTTTTAGGATTTTAATCTTCACAATTGGATTTTATCAGGTTTCTTCTTTGTAAGTTGCCTATATAAAAAAATTTATTTGTGGGATGCCTTAAAAGTTTTGTACTTGTATTATTGAGTTTCTCTATGGAGGCAAGTAAAAATTAAAAGGGAAATTTACTTGAATTGAATGCGATGTTTGTCATTCATTCTTCTTTTATTTGTATTTGAACTGGGATTCAGTATATCCTATGTTTTTTTCCATTGCTTTTAATATGCTTCTTTCCATTGTTTTTAATAGAATCAGAAACTTGTGCAACTTAGATTCCCCAGTATTTTTTGCAGAGGCTTCTACCTAGGTTGCATGACGAAAATGATCAATGCTTTCTTATATATTTGTTATTGCTATCAAATTTTCTACGTTTAAATATTTATTCTTTAAATTTTGTTCCCTCATTTTCATGCAAGATGGTCTGGATCTTTCTCCCAATTTCATTTGCTTCTTGGATTAGAAGAATTAGATATAGGTCATGCTTGCTTGTTTATCGGGATGATGAATCTGCATAATCAACAAAACTTTGTTTTCACATAAATATGCAAACCTCATACACAATCGAACTTTCGAGAAATGATGCTTTTATCATGCTTTTCTGCCATTTTGCACAGCCTGGATCAATATGCAATTGCAAAGTTTGCTGAAAGCTTTGAGATGGTTCCAAAGACCCTGGCTGAGAATGCAGGACTCAATTCAATGGAGATCATCTCCTCTCTTTATGCTGAACACGCAGCTGGAAACACAAAGGCTGGCATACACTTGGAAGAGGGAGGAGTTATTGATGTATCGGTCAAGAATATTTGGGACCTCTATGTTACCAAGTAAGCTAACTCCCTCATATTGGTTAGTGTTATTGTTGTTCTTGTTGAATAAGAACGCATCTAATTTTGTGTACTTAGCAATACCACGGTATGCTCTCTTGTCTGTAGCGTACTTTTTGTGTTTTCAAGTGTTGCACTTGGAGGGATTGTTTTCTGCAACCGTTCTTATGGCTGTGACTTGATTTGCTTTCCAAATGGTTTTCACAGGCATTTTGCCTTGAAGTATGCCGCTGATGCTGCCTGCACTGTGCTCCGAGTTGACCAAGTACTCTCTCTATCTCTCACTCTCTCTCTCCCCGACATACGCATACCAATATTTCCTTCTTTTACCTGAGTTGTTTTACGCACATGTATGCTCTCTCTCACAGCTCATACTTCATGATATCCTCTCTTTTTCACACACCCATGATACCCCTTCTCTTTATGCATTGGTGAGTGGCTCTTCCTTTCACCTGTACTTGAACACGTTCCACACGAATCAACATCTTCCCTCCTCCCACCAAAACACACACACGTGCTAGTTGAGGTGCATGCACTCTCACATACACACACCCCAAACATAGAGGCTCATACTCTAACATCTACTCCAGGCATCCGAGTGGGTTCCTCTCAGACTTTCACTTTTCCTTTCCCCCGTATACGACTCTGAACTATTTAACACTGTTTCCTTCCCCCTGCTCTCACTCCCCGAACTCCCAAACAACCTCCTCAACATACCCATCCCAATTGTCTCTCTTTTTCTCTCTCTATAAATATATATGTATATATCATCATCGTCAAAGTTTTTTTCCAACTAATTGGAGCCGAATCTTTGTCTGCCATTCTGCCCCTATTAAGTAGACTTGGTTTGCTCCACACATGGCCAGTTCACTTAAATGTACTTTTTTTCATTTTCTTATGGGTCCCACACCTAACGTCTCCATATATATATCTCCATGTATATAGAGAAATGAGCTGAGGTTTGAAGAGCTGTGCCGTCAAGCCTCATGCATCACACCCCTTTCTCATGAGATTTGACTTGTACCTACTGTTGTTTATTGCAGATAATCATGGCAAAACAAGCGGGTGGGCCAAAGAGAGATCAGCCTGCGGGTATGGATGAGGACTAATTTTGACAGTCGGACATGCAATTTTTTAGTGTTGCGCACAAGTTCAGTTTTCCCTTCGAGATTCCAAATCCTAGACTGAAAATTTTGTTTGTAGTTGGAGGAGAATAGTTGATGAAATGTGTTATATGTACAAATGTCATTCTCTCGTGCAAATGTTTGTGTGATCACTTGGAATTAATGAGGATTTTTTGTATTAATGGACGGGAGGATGCGATTCTGCAGAATGGATGGTCCAGATCACGGTTCTTTCACTTGGGTGATGGAATTTATGGTTAAAGAAAAGGACAGACCGACCCCCACTTTCCTTTTTTTTGTTTCTTTTTAATTTTCGAGGTAATTTTGCATTGGGATAAACTGGACGCATCATTGGAGCAACAGCCTAATTCCAGTAAGCGTACTTGGTTAATGAGAATGAAAAAGCCATTTGAACCCTTTGTCCTGTTGCGATTTTATGTTTTTGTTTAGAGTGGCGGTCATCCTTATCCGTAAGATGGAATTGGTAGTGGTGTGTAAAAGTTCAAAATATTGTTAATAGATTTTCGAGCTTGGTCATCGTCAAAGCTTTTTTTTTCAGTTAATTGGGGTCGGATGTACGAATTCTGGTATGTCCTTAGGGTCATATTTTTGTTTATATATTTTTTCACTACTTCTAATCATGTTTTTTGAGGTTTATTTTTTTATTTTTTTTAATTTTCTACTGGAGTTAATTCACACTTCTTAACATGCGTTGTATTGGGTGTACACTACACATAGTCAGTCCACTTAAGTCTATTCTCTCATCACCAATTAGTGTCAGATTAAATTTTTCTGAATGTTTTCATTTAGAATTTCGTCACTTCTCATCTTATTACTTATCCATCTTAATATTTTTATTTCTATTATATTTTTTTTATGGATATATTGTTTTTTGATCTTCCTATATTTTGTCACATAGAGCAAAGTTGGTATCCCAATTGTCTCATAGAATTTATTTTATCTTCACTGGTATGGATTGATCACATAAAATTTTCGTTGTACATCTTCATTTCACTCATCCAGTTCTAATTTTATATGCAACATTTTCTTCGATTTCTTCATTTTTTAGATAATTTTAAACCTAATAAATATATATTTGAACGTCTCATTTGAGGTTTAATAGCTTACAACGACATGCCAGAAGATATGACCTATAATTTTCCCTCTCAGAATAACTCATCTTTTGTGGTCGTTACGGTGGTTAAAGTTTTCTTGACAAAATGCAAGGCAGTTACGGTGGTTAAAATTTTTTTGACAAAATACAGGGCCTTTTCCTAGAGGTAAAAGTGCGAGGGTAGATTGGGAACACGGCAGCGTCAAAAAGTGGTATGCCTTTTCTATTCCTAATTTCCATCATCGTTCATCATTCAGAGTGAATGGTGATGGGCATGTGACTGCGGTTTTTCAAAGTCGTCTACATATGAGACGAGACTAAATACCTTTTTAAGGTGATGGACCGTAGTCCAGTGGTACAAGCGTGCAAGAAACTAACGGCTCCAAAGCAACCTACATCACTGCGATCTGAACACGGACAGTCAGATTTAAGCCAAGTTTGGGCCCCAATAAAGATAAAGCTAGGCAGAGAAGATAAACTATACCACATAGGTAAAGGAGCACTACTGGTTTCCTTCCCCCCCCCCCTCCTCTCTCTCTACAATGGCTTCCTCAACATCTTCTCCCCTTCTCTCATCTTCACCCTCAGTTCAAATTCTCGACCAAAAATTTGGCCGGAAAGGTGTGAAATTCTCGGAATTTGGTGGGGTGCCGGCTGTCGATCTGACGGTCAGGAATGGAAGCAGCCTCAAGCTCCAATTATCTGATGGCTTAGTGACATCTTACAAGCCTAAGGTGTATTGGAAAGATGAGGCCTTTGAGGAGTTGCTTTACACTGTAAGTGAGGGCAATGAGGTGAAGAAGGGGGGAATAGGAATGGGTTTAGATGTTTTGAGCTTGGATGGTGAACCTTGGTGTCCTTCTGGATGGGAGGTTAAGGATGTGGATTCCGATTCCATTGATGCTGTGCAGGTTCGTATGTTAGAGATAGGTTCTCTTGTTAATAGTGTCTGTTAGAGAGAGAGAGAAAGAGAGAGAGAGAGAGAGAGATGTTGTTTTCTTTACCTTTTTTTTTTTTTTAAATAATGTGGTTATCGAAGATCCAATTTTGGAAAATTGGTCATTGGTGTTAAACCAGAGAGTAGATTGCAATTGCAAGTAGGCTGAATTTTTCACCAAATTACACAACTTTTTTTAAAAGAATTTTTTTCTCTCTTGGGGTAGATTGTAGAATTGCTCTCCTTTTAATCCCATCCATTTTTATTAGGTTGAAGTTTCTCTTTGTTTTACACTAAAGTTTTGAATTTTTTGTATGAATTTCAGGTCAGCCCATAATGCTAGCCTTGCATTATGGAATTTTGGGTATTGCACACAAAATATGTTGGGTTTTTATATTATGAAGCTAATTATTTTTATTTTTAGTATATAGAGGTCATAATCACTTTTAGCTATTGAATATGAAATCTATTGACGAAAGTATGTCATAATTTTCGAAAAATTTTATTTCGAACTTTTGGTTCAAACAATGACACATCTTTAACTACCGGATTTCAAATCCCATGGTCAATTATAACTTTTTTGTATCAACAATAAATCCAAGGGTCAATGATGATTGTAACCTCCTTGTATCAAAAGTAAATAGTCTTAGTAAATTGTGCTTGAGCTTGAGTGGATAGCTTTGGCGCTATATCCCAAGTTTGACACTCAAAAAAAAAAAAAATTTAATTGCCTTTGGACTATCCTGAAAAGTGCATTCATCTTTGCAAAAGCTTTTTGCGTTAACTTTCATTCATTAATTACCCAAGTTTAATCTCTTATTTTATATTGAAAAGTAAAAGCACCAAATATATAAAAAAAAATTGAGTAGGTTTTAAGAAATACAAACAAAATGATTTGCTAACTGCAAATTTTAAGCCATTTTATATACAGGTGGAGCTTAGTTGTAGCAATGGAGATGGAACACTAGAAGTAACCTACATTGTCACCCTCTTTCCAGAAAGCATGGCCACTGCTGTAATTGCAAAGAACAATGGCTCTCAAACTGTAAAACTGAGCAGTGGAATTCTCAGCCATCTCAAATTCAAAGGCAGGGGAGGCTCTGCAATTTCAGGCCTAACTGGTTGCTCCTACACTTCACACCCACCTCTGGCGTCGAGTTTCGGGATTATCTCTCCCGTTGAGGCCATGGAACCAGAGCAACCTGGCTGGTTTAGTTCAATCTTTAATGGAAATGGGAGTACAGATTCACGAAAGAAGAGAGAGAAAGGCCAGTGGACCGTGGAGAACAACAACTTTGTGATGCTTAGAGAGAGAATGAGCAGAGTGTATGCTGCCCCACCTGCGGAGAGAGCGAAGAGGGTGTATAGGACACCCCCATCAAAATATGAAACCATTGATCAGGTATTCTTTCTCTCTGATTTCCCATATTTATGAATATGAAATGAGGGGTGTCTCTCTCCCTGATTTCTCATATTTATGAATGTAAATTGATGGGTGTTGCAGGGAACTGGGCTTGAGTTCAGAATGATAAGGATGGGGTATGAAGACATATATTTGGGGTGCCCTGGTTCTCTCTCTAGAAAGTATGGAAATAATTACTTCATCTGCACAGGCCCTGCTTCTATGTTGGTTCCTGTGGAACTGAAACCCAATGAGATGTGGAGAGGTGCCCAAGTCATTGAACATGACAATCTATAATTTTGCCCTGTAACATAAAAAAAATCAATGGAAATTTTTTATATTCAATTGTTAATAATTTCGTGTCTTTGTTAATAATTATATATCATCTTACTTTGGATTGTAGGCCCTCTTGTCCTCATGATAATGTGTAATTTTACCTTGTAAAATGAAAACATCAATACCCCTTTGCTTTAGTTTTTAATAATTATAATTTTAGTTTCCAGTGTTGCCTTTCTTCCATGAGTTGTGTTTCTCTCTCCTCTTTTTTTGAGAGAGAGAACAGCACTCAATGATTGCATGAGAGAGAGAGAGAGAGAGGACTTAAGCATTGCATTAGTGAGATTTGAATGAGAGAACTTTAACACGCTGAGATAGAGAGGACTAAAGTAAATTGGGGGTGCAGTAAAAAAACTGAACCCAACCTCTCAAAGTTGAGATATCCGTCAATGCATCTGTTGTGATTAGCGATGAAGAGAAAGGGACTCTTTTCTTATTACCGATGTTTAAAAAAACTTGAATATACTGAGTTGGGGTACTGGCCAGGGTGTGCCAGCACGGGGATTTCCAATCTGGTTCGATGAATCGTGAGTAAACTCCAAACAGTTGAAAAAAAATAAAAAATAAATAAATAAATAAATAAAAAGAGAAATGGTTCATGAAAAAGAGTTTCCCTCAGGCTTTGAGACCTATCTAGGTCCTATAATCACTACAGTGAACAACCCAGATTTAGATAATAAGGACAGTTCCCAAATTACACTATGGGTTTGAGCCGATTTTTCAATCACTGCTCACACTAGGCTGGCAACGGGCCGGGGCAGATTAAAAAATAAAAATAAAAAGCTGAACTGAGCTGACCCATCGTAGCCCTAACCCTGCCCTCGGGACACACTTTGAGGCCGAGGCCCTAGTCACTAGTCATTGCCCACTAGACAGGGGCGTTTAAGTCTTTTGATCATTTCAAAATGTCCAAAGGATAAGGATATGTATATATGGGTGGCTTCCCTTCCTACTTACCCACTCGCTCACAGTGGACAAAAGACAATGGTCATGGCCAACTCTGCTGCTTTCTCCTCTAATCTCATCTCCAATTTCTTTAAACACCCACCAAAACGCACCCCAATATCACCTCCAGTTTATCAGTTACCCAAGCATCACCAACTTTTTTCTCTTCTCTCTCCAAAAGTAGCAGCAAAACCCAACTTTTACACCACACCAGCACCACCACCACCACCACCACCAGCCCCCATCAATGTAGAGTATTTAGAGAGAGAATTTGGAGGCCATGGTGCTGAGTTCTCTGAGGTAGGGGACAGATGTGTGGTCAGCATCGAATTGGATGATGGGAGCTCAGCAAATCTGGTGCTGCCGAGTGGCCTGATCACATCGTATAAGCCACACATGTGGCATGGGGGCACACAGGAGCTCCTTCACACTGTTGTGACTGAGGGGGTTAGAGAGAGAGAGGAGGTGGTGATAAGTGGCGGGGTCTCTGTGGTTTTGGAGGGAAAGGGTGGTGATGGGATTCCATGGAGAGCTAACAGTTGGGTTCTCCATGATGTCAGAGGAAGCCCCCAAGATGCCATTGAGGTATGCTTGTGTGTGTGTGTGTAGAGAGAGAGAGAGAGATGATTTGAGTCTCGAAAAATACTTACTAACGCAGAAAACCTTGTTGTATACAGGTAGAGCTGAAGATGTACAGTAGAAGGGAAGACATGGCTGAAGTGAAATACATTGTGACTCTCAAAAATGATGCATTATACTCAAATATTACACTATCCAACTTCACATCCTCACCACAAATGCTTACAGGATCCATTATGAGCCATCTCACAGTGAGCACCCCTGATGCTACCTATGCAGTTGGCCTCCAAAACTCAAATTACTGCACCAAACCTCCATTAATCTCAGATTTTAGCATAATTCCTCCTAATAATAATAGTGCTGATAAAGCATCTGAGTTGAGAGAGACATGGAGCAGGATGGTGCGACAAGGATTACCATTTAATTGGGGTGGTAGGAGAGAGAACCAGGAAGATGGTCTAGAGAAAGATGATGTTTCAGAAGAAGATGAAAACGAAGAAGATGACAACTTTAAGCATCTGACTGATAGTATGAGCAAGATTTATACATATGCACCCAGGAGCTTCACACTAATTGACAGGGTAATAACTGCATGGATGTAAAATGAATCAATTATAGCTTTTGTGTGTGTGTGAGTGTGCGTGTGCGTTTGTGTGTGTGAGAGAGAGGGAGGGGCTGGTCAAGCTTTTTGCTTTTGCATTTCCTTGTTTCCCTCTCTATTATTGTTGTTTCTAGCTTTTAAGCTTCTTTCCCAACTAATAATATGTTGTCCTTTTTATTGGAACAGGGGAGAAGGAACTCTGTGGTAGTAGGAAGAACTGGGTTTGATGAGCTTTATGTTTACAGCCCTGGTTCCAACCATGAATGGTATGGAAAGTACGCATATATATGCACTGGTCCATTGGCCATGCTCAAACCAGTGGTCGTGGCTCCCGGTTCAGTGTGGAAGGGTTCTCAATTTCTCCATAACCCAAGCTCGTAGATTAGAAATACACAGATTTTATAACGCAGTTTGTTTGCTTTTCTTCTTAAGAGCTCCAGAGAAATAATATTTTTGTTAAGAAGAAAAGAACTTGCTGCCAATAAGAATATCTTCAGCATTTTCTTGTAAGTTGTAACTGTGATATAATGTAATATCACCTCTAGATTTCAGTAGTGTATAGTGAAATGTTCATTTAGAAACATAACCGGCAACATAGAAGTTAGATCAAGAAAGATCCATATCAGTAGGTCAAAATCTATAGCTCCACACCCAAATGTATAATCCAAAAAGGCCAAAGGGATGAAGGGAAAAAACCAGCATTTTCTGAACGATAAAATTGTCAGGTTCACAACAAAACAACGTGGCAGAGGCTTTGAGCACAGTTGTGAAACAAAAGCAAAAGGCGTTCCAGATCATAACATAGAAAAACTTACGTAACAGAATTGATGCAGCGAAAGAAGAACTTCTTCCAATCTCTATGAGTAACTTGCATTCAGGTTGGAACCAAGTTGTCGTATCCTTCACCACTCTCGATCCAACCGGAAGCCAAGAAGGCCAAAGGAATTATTAACCAAATACCCCCAACCACGCTAAGCATAATCCTCAAAAACTTCCTCTCTTTTGTCCCCGAATTTATCAGTGTTTTCTTTCCTACATCCATTTGAGTTAACGCTCTAACACCTGTACCTTCACAACCATTGTTTGTAGATGCTACAGACTCAGAACCACAAGCTCGCCCATTGGATGCAGGCTCAACTCTATCACTTTGCCAGCTTAGCACACTGGAAATCTCAGAATTCTTTTCTTCTCTCTTATCTGACGGGACTCGTCTTGGAGTCGAGTCTTTCGCATGAAATGATTTATTTCCACATTCTTTTGCTGGGCTTTCTGAGAGTTTGGAATCTGGGGTGTTGGTTTCCTGAAGGAATTTCATAAGCTTCCTTGGAGTCGAGAAAATCTGGATATCGTCGATGGTTAGTTGGGACTGTGGCCTCTGAAATCAAAATATGAAAGCCCATGTTATTGTTTTCTGGAGGATAAATAATTAGTCTGTTTTGTTTTGGATCTTTCAGTTATCAAATAGGATTTGAATCTTGGGCATTGAAGATAGGTCCCTAAGTCCTAACCACAATGGCAAGAGGTCAAATCCATTTTAAGGTATCCCTGATTGTCAGCAAAATTTAATACATGGCTGAAATATCGATAGCCATAAAAAAGGAAAAATATGATGGAAATATGTAATTTCTAGAGAAATAAGTAATGATGTAAAATTTTCATAGGAAGTTTAAAGTATATAAGCTATTCACAATATATATTGAGAAATGTACTCCATTGTACCAATAAATACACATAAATGTAACATACAATTTGAAAGTTGTGACTACGGACAATGGTAAAACTAGTGATATTAAACGCTGCTGGTATAGTCACTTTGTTATTAGTAACATAATATATTATATGCCACAGAGATGTGATATGTGTAAGCTATACGGCCCATCTGTAGATATATTCATGAAAGGGGTAATTCATGAATATGGAACAAAACTGACTTTCTAGGCAGCAGAGAGTAATATAATATATTATATGCAACATAGATGTGATATGTATAAGCTCTAAGGCGCATCTGTAGATATATTCATGAAAGGGGTAATTCGTGAATATGGAAAAATACTGACTTTCTAGGCAGCAGAGTGTTTTGCGGCATTAATTTAAGTGAGCAGGGAAGAGAATGGGGCCTTGCTCATGAATAGCTGGAGCAAACCAAACAATGCTCATTATTGTTCATAAATGGGGAGGGAAGATAATGAGATTATTCATCAAAAACGATACACCCATACTCCCTAGTCCATACTTGGCCTAAGGTTAATGTTGCACTGAATTTTCATCTGTATCATACGATACTAAATAGAATGCATTGTACAAATTGACAAGCTATTCATAAAAATGTGAAAAACATAGAAGCAAACTGAGGGACAATAATATTGCTTAAATCACTACTAAGAAAAACCGAAAGAAAACAAGTATGAAGCATGAAACCTTATGCATAGAGCTTGTATACCTGAGGACTAGGGGTTGAACTTCCTACACCTGACTTGGGGGAGATGGCTGTAAACTCAAAACCTGAGAATTCTTCAGTGTTATCTTCCCCTGTTTCACTAAACCCAACATTTCTTGATTCCTCAAAGTCCCTTTCTGAGAAATTTCTTAATGAACCCATTTCAAACTTCCTCCTTTCAAAAGAAGATGCACTGATGCCATCCTTCAATGAAACATCAACTCCACCTTTGTCACTTTTCCATAACTTTCGACTCACTGATCTGTTGAATACAGAGTTACTAGTAGATTGCACTGATGAAGTAGGGGAATTGTTGAATGAGACAACACATTGAGACTCTGGTGAAGCATATCTTGGTGATCTAATGTTATAATTACCTATAGATGAACCATTGGGAAGGCGCCATAGACTCTTTCTCATGCCATAGTCCTCAGTATCAAAAACATTTGAACCAGTGGTTGAGTTCTCGTGTCCAAACCCATCATGGGCCAGACCTTTACTTACAAGAATCGTCCTTGCAGTTTGAAGTGCTTCATTTATGGCTATCCTCACAAAAGGTAGCTTATCAACCCTACATTTCTCCAAAACTTCAATTGTTCTTGGCAATTCGGAGCAAAAGCTCTCCGAATCTATGCTTTTCAACAATAAATTCATCATCTGAACAACATTGAGTTGTTTCTGAGATGCCCCATCTGCAACCCCATTTCTCATAATTTCGACCCCAGACCTCATTAGAGACCGAGCATATGGTTGAAGAATCAAGCTATTATGCTTACATAGAGCAATAACCAGACCCATATGTGGACTAGTTTGTGTGCTTTTATCTTCTAATGCACTTGTTACTCTCAAACAAATGTCATTAACAACCTCATCATGAGCAAATTTCCAGTTATCAGATTCTACAAGGGCCTTTAGACAGAGAGCTGCCCCTGATGTTAGGCTCTCGGGAAAACCCATCAAAGCCTCAGATAAAGGCCTAGAGAGAGAAAGTATTATCTTCAGTTTTTCTTCATCTGGTGTTGTGGGGTCGATGGCATATCGAGCAATTGCAGGCACGACTTTAGAGCATGCCTGGTGAAGGGGGAAAGAGCCTGCACTAGAGGTCAAGGTTTTGAGAATGGTGGACATGATGTTGTGGATTTGGGGCACGATTTTGCGGCCATGAGCTCGAGCTAAAACTTCGTAGAGAGATATCGTGTGCTCACCTGAAGCTGCCTTAGATTCATTAGACTCAGAAACTTGGGCAAGAAAAGAAGGAATTGTTTTGGAGTCAAGCTCCTTGACATAGGATTTAAGGGTTTTCATAGCAGATCTTCTTGTATCCGCATCTTTGTCAAGGTTTTGCAGCTCTTTTTGCAAGAGAGGACTGATATTTTTACCCATGGAGCACTGTTAAATTTTTTAGGTTTTTGAAACAATACCCCAACACTTGGACTGAATAAGATCACAAGCTGAAGCACATGAGATGGAAGATCTTCTTCAGGTTTGAGTGGATCAAAAGAAGAAAAAGCAAATTGAAGGAGTATTTTTGTAATGAAATGATGAGTAATAGAGGTGGGGGGAGGAGTTTTAATGGTAAACACTCAAGAATTAAGATACAAGAGTGGACCTGATATTGATTTTCTTTACCATAGTCAAGAAGAAATCAGCAAAAATTACAGATGGGTATTCCGTGATTAAGACATCATAATCAATAAGAAGTGAGAAAAGATTTTATATGGGTTTTCTCAGGGTAAGAAAGGAGAGAGAAGATAGAGAATATCAAACTCAGGACTGTAATACACTCAGAGGTATCTAATGTGTTTTTGCTTTACAGTCAACAAAAATAACTAACAATCTATGAAGATTGATATACTTAAAAATCAAGGAGGAAAATGCAGTGTAAAGTGTAAACAAAACTCACCAGCTAGAAACACAGTCAAAGAGAAACATGGTTAAAGTGATGATCTTGATTCTTCAAAATCAAATACATAAATGTAGTGCAAATAAAGCTCGCCAGGAAAAACCAAGAAAGAAGGTGGATTCATAGAGAGAGAAAGATAAATGTGGATTCATGGAGAGAGAAAGACCTCCCCGTGTTGTGCGGTTCAAAATTCAAACTCTTGCTGGATTTTAAGCGCCTTTTTAGATTTTGAATACGCCCGTCTTTCTTTCCTCTTGGATCCCCTAAAAGAAATGACTACAAAGCCCCCCGTCTATCTGAAAAATGACAAGCACTCCTGTACGCCACATTATTATTATTTTATTTTATTTGAAAAAGAGAAGTACACAACGAACCCAACCATTTAGGAAAATTATGGAACGTAACTATTTACCTTTAGTACAAAGTGGTCGCATTAATCTTGATCATTGGATGTAAAATTGGGCGGTTGCAATTATTCTATTGATCAAGCTCAAACTTCAAAACAAAACAAAAAAATTCTCAAACTTTGTAACACATCCAAGCTATCAAAGTTAACATCAAATGGTTGTAACTTGTAAGTAATTGTGACCACCTTTCTATCAAAAGTAAATAGTTTCATTGTATACAATCTCAACCATTTATCTTTTGTATAAGGTGATCACAATTAATCTTGTTATTTTGATGTGAAATTGGGTGGTTACATTTATTTCATTGACCGAGCACAAAGTTCAAAAAAAAAATTTTGAACTTTGTAACACACTCAGACTATCAAATTTTACATCTGGGTTATAAGCAATTGTGATTTCCTTGTACAATAGGTAAATGATCTTACTGTATATAATCTTAAAAAATAATAATATTTTTGATAAGGTTGCAATACTATGAAAATAAGTAAAGTGTACCTCAAAACTCACTTAAAATTATAGTTATGACATCGGAAACCCTTCAACTCGATAATAGGACTTCAAGCCCTAAAAGTAATGTGCATTATAATGCATTGTCTAAACGGTCTATTTCGTCCTAAAAATAAGTGCTCAACGATTTGCATGAATTGTACTATTTTTATAGCGTCATATTTTATAGTCTGGAAATTGATTTTAGAGTAGAGCGATCAAAGAGATTTTTGATACCCATAACACATTATGGGTTAGGCCTCATAGATACCACATCCTCTCTTCTTTCTTTTTTTCTTTTTTTCCTACTGTGGCCTTCTCTATGTTTTAATTTTTCAATAATGAAATATGATACTTTCTTTTTAAATGTTATTTGTTGTTTTAGTGTTGGATCGTCAAATGAACAAAGTACTTTTAAGTCCAGATCTACAAGTGGACAATTTTAGAAAGGTAACGCGTTATTAATATGACATTTAACATGTTATTATGGTTATAGCTTAAAAGGAAGTTTCTTATTCTAAGCCCACAAATTATCAAATTACCTGTTTGAGATTAACTATTTAACATTGTATTGTTTTAGTTATTTTCAAAATCCCACCATTGATTATGAGTTGGAAGAGTGTCAAGTGTAAAATACTAAATATTGCATCTCTTGTGGTTATTTTAATGTTACTGTTGGTTTACAAGCAGATGATCCAAACAAAATATATATGGTCCAAAGATTCTAAGGTCCAGCAGGATCATCTCCTGTTCAATCCCTTGTGAAAAATCCAATACACGATTATTTTTTGGACTTGAGATTATGGAGGATGTAAAAATGGGCAGTGATTTTATACAACGGTTGTACTATAGTATAATGCAATAGCCTTTAAAAATCATGGTAGGCCCATTTGTTTGATACAAATTCTGAAATATACACTCTTTTTATTCTAATGAACATTCACAAAAAAGAAAAAATTGAAAACATAACTTGGAAAGTCTTTTTTCAGTCAAATTAACATAAGCCGTCAGATGCTTAGATCTAAGCCTTAGAAGGATTTTTTTCTTTTCCAATTCTTTTAGTTAGCTTTATTATCATTAGATGAACAATGTTAAAAAGAAAAAAAAAATGATTTTGAGTTTGTTAAGGCTAAGATATTGAAATTCACCAAATGAATGGTGTAAATTCGTTGTTGGAGGGGACTCATTTTGACCATATCTTCTTCATCGATTTAATATTTTTGAATTTTCATTTAGAGATGAGCACATTTAAAAGTGAAAATAAAATAATCTTGATTTAACATAAATTTCCATCTAAAATTTCCACCAATACGTTCCTTTAGAAAGAGTGCAATTATTCTCCAAAAAATGATCAATCAAACTGACCATATATCTCAACATAATAGTTAGAGTTAGAGAAAGAGTATCTCAATAAATTTTATTTTATTTTTTTCCCTCTAAACACAAAGTATTATAATAAAAGAGCAAGAGAGAAATTCAGTGACACTAAAGATTTAGCAGTAGAGTTAGAGAAAGAGTATCTCAATAAATTTTATTTTATTTTTTCCCTCTAAACACAACGTATTATAATAAAAGAGCAAAAGAGCAAGAGAGAAATTCAGTGACACTAAAGATTTAGCAGCTAGAAATTCAAAATGAGCTTCAAATATTTTGGTTTACTTAAGCATTTGTTGCTTTCTTTCCGCATCCATACGTAAGTTTGATTAATTTCATATTTATACTTTTTTAAAAAAAATTATTAATGTATACAACATAATAATTTCGATGGGCCAATTTAACACTTTTTGATTCTCTTACTTTGGGTTGCATTCTTGTAGTTTGTTGTTGTATTGTTCATCCATCATATATTTTGTGTCGTGACACCAAGCATTATTTATTGAAAATTTAGATAAAATTTTGTAAGTACAACTAGATAATATTAGCTAAGAACATAAAAATTATAGTCAATCGTCGTGTATCCATACAATAATGGCAGCTTATAATCTTATATTGTGTATCCTTACTTATCCAATTTTTTTACTCCAATTCTTTGAGCCAAATACGAAACATTCACAATTATCTGACTTGACTAATTTTAAGCAATTCGTATTTTTTATTCGATTTATTGCCTCCGAATTTTTTTTCGGATTTTTTTTGCCTCCCAACCCTCTCCAAATGCATTGTTGACTTGGATCCATGATTTTGAAACAAAAAAATAGTACAAATGTGATGATCTGGAAAAGAGTAAAAATGAACCATCCAAAATAAATTAGGAATTGTGCTTGGGCTTGAATGGTCAGCGCCTGACATTAACAATGCTATATCTCAAGTTCGACCCTTACCACTGATCTACCCCACACTTCCTCCTCCCCCAACCCAAAAAAAATATTTTGAATGTTCAATATGGATCAAGAACGTTACCGATAAAAGTAATCTCTCACACGTAAAGGGTATTAAAAATCGTTTAAGAGAGGAAATGTATTCAACGAGTACAGTGAAAGTCCTGTGGGAAACTTCACACCATCCCAGCCATCAGATGGCAAGAAGGAATGGCTGCAGTGATGCGAAGTTTAAATGTAGGAAAATTCATTGCATTTATGCATACAAACACCTTTTGAAATGGGTCTCAAAAGCAATGGTGGTTCCATTCATTTTCATAACCACAGACAAATTTTCTAGATTTTTTTATCTCGTCACCACCAGTCTGAAGCTCAAAGCAAAACCATGAATAATGCGTAGCCGGTTGCGAACACAAAATACATTAAGATACATGAAAATGAACATCAATGATTCAAAGACTTCGTTTTTTTATCTGACGACTGATACAAAATGTAAAATACGTTAGTGGAGATTTAAAATTCGTATCTGCAGACTAGATAACCAATTAGTTGCTTCAAAGCCTTTTAGCAACCCATGCATGCATCAATAATAAGAAGTTAACAAACTAATATTTTATTCCTACCTCCCATGCTTAGTTCCTACGACTAAAAGAATTCCCCTGGTGTCATGAGTACGAGAGTCTACAGGTTGGGCAGTACCACTTTCCTTTGAATCGCGTCTCTGAGGTAAGGCCAACACAAGAGTAATGGAACCATTCCCCGCCCTCACACTGCCAAAACATGGTTTTCTTATAAACAAATTACACAAAGGAATAGAAAAAGATACAAGGAAGCACAGGACGATAAGGCACAAGATAGGGGAATTAAGATGCAGCACTGAACAAAATAACTTACATTCTCATTGTCACAAGCAATCATGTCACCAAATGATACCTGAAAACAGAAACATGAGAAACAGAGCCTTTGAAATGCAAAGCACACCTATGATGTGCAGACACACACACGCACACACAACGCGTGCACACACACACAGACTTGGGGTATCAGTACAATTCCTGGCCAAAAAATTAAATATCTAAAAATAAACATAGGAACAAAAGTTTACATATGCCTTGAGGAAATACAAGATAGGTACATCTCTTTAAATACAAGGGCTACAGGAATGTACAACAAAAGAAAACCATAGTCGCTTTTATATATTTACCTACCTGGATATGCATACATAAACAAAGTATTGTGCATATGCTTATATACTCTTATGGTGTTACATGTGCATGCAAATAGCCGAACAAGAAGGCAGTCATAAGAACTCAACAGAAGTACCTGATGACAAACACAATATGTGGGCTCATTTGGATCAATTTGTTGGTCCATATCAACAGGTGCAGGAACATTTTTCTTGTGGCTACCTGGAGGAGGCATGAGCTCGAAATCCCTGTCGCGCTCCCTGTCCCAATCTCTGTCATGTCTCTTTGATTGAGGTGTGTTGATGTATGTTTTTCGCTTTTCATCCTTGATTGCTACAGTAGGAAGGATCGCTGGCTCGTCTAAAGGTATCTTTCCTTCTAGACATTACCGAAAGAAGAATAACAAATTCAGAACTTCCGGCGATAAGCTTCTTCAACATAGATAAATAAATAAAATATGAAAATATTTATACAATTTAAACATCCTCTCCATCCCACAATAACAAAAGAATAAATCATGATTCTTGCTAAGTCATTTGTCATTTGCGTAAAACATATCTTGCAACCTATACAGTCCAGTTGACTGCTCATTAATAGTCAACACAACGATATGGTAAACTTACACATCCTAGACTAGAGGATGAAATGCTTTGCTAAGAGGGGAATACCTTGCTTTAGATCTTCTGCAAAATTGGTTAGGTCTTCATCAAGACGTTTGACATGGCTATCTATCTGCAAGAGTTACAGATTTTAGTTTTCAGTAGCAGTGGGGCTTCACATTTGGCTTAGCAACATAAGCTGGAGAGAACACGGCTTCCTTGTAAACAATGAATGGAAGCTTTCCACATTTTAAGATAACTCATTTTGGTATCAGAAAAAGCATACTGATTTATTCGGAAGCCATTGTACCTCTCCTAAGTCAATTGAATTTGTGGTTGTAACCAGTTGTTCAAGCTACATGTCCTAACGCAAGGAGGCGGACACCCTAGCCATCAGAAGTTGTGACGATTTCACGAACTTATGAGGATTTCCTGATAAGCTCTTATCAGTTGTTTGGCTCCAGGTTCGGAAAAAACAAGTTTTTGTCCAAAAGGCAGGTTTAGGAGAAACCTACTCTTGGCAGTGTTTCACTAAGCCCCTAAATTGGGGTTTCCGAAACCTGGATTTTGAGTGAGAAAAAGGTACCAAACACATTTTCACGAAGGAAAACTGAATTTTATAAAACAGGGTAAAGAAACCCAAGATCCAATGGGCTCTTAAAGAGTAAAAATCATGTTGAGTACATGGAAAGTATACCATGATCCACGTGACCACCTGAAATAGGGTTATTAGGTTCATCAAAATCCAATCAATAGGTTGGATGGATGGGGATGTACTGCGAGTGGGTCATACAATTAAAAGTACTTTTCAATTACTATATGTGGTTCTCTCAATATAACACGGACATATACAGAACATGAAAGAAGAGCTTTTCTGCTGCTTCTTCAGTACTTGGAATACAAATACATGAAGTTTTATCTCACTAATATAAGTTTCTAGATTGCCATGTTATGTAAGGAGAGGACGTTCCAAGTGAAAGAAATAAAGGTATTAAATGGGATATATTATTCATAAGTTAAAGTTTGAACTATTACCTTATCGAATCAGCTTAGATAATCATAATCAAACAAGTAACATGGTGTTGGAGGGAGAAAAGTTAGTAAAAGATGTATTTTTCTCCGATTTTACATACACAAAAAAAATTTGATTAAAGAATAATAAAAGGACACAGATTTTATGGCCAAGATTGAACAATGCCAGCATATTTGGACAAAGCGCATCTAGGCACACTTTGACTCTTTTATGCATATTTATTGTTTTATTATTTTTATTTGGTGAACCCAAATCAGTAGCACACGAGTGCAAATTTTGAGGTCCAATAGACTCATAAAAATAAAAAACAAAACGTACTAACATGCAGCATCAGTCGTCTAGATTGCTAAATTCAATCTGGGTCATCTGGCATATACTATTCCATAGGCCAGGCGGCCTATATTATCTTCTTTCAAAATGAAAAAAAAATAAATAAAAAGTCTTGCAATCCTACAAAGTTTTGATGTAGAAATAGCATCTAACCTTGTTCGGTTTGATGTATAACTGTGTTAGTTTTTTTTTAAAAAAGGAAATTAACATATGAAATCCTTTTTATTGTTTATAATTAAATTTTTTTTAGAATTAAAAAGAAATCCCCATTTTTTTAAACATTTTACGTGCACGTCCCTTTTTCGGTCATTTTTAACTTTTTTCCAAAATAACCCCATTCCGGTATTTTATTATTGTCTAGCACTTCTAGTACTGGACCGACCTTTACCGGCCATTTTACCCCAATCCGGTCCAATACTTAAAGTAGCAGACTGCCTTTTTTCATCATTTAAGTACTGGACTGGCTTCTAAAAAATGAATAGCAAATAGTTGAGCCAGTACTTCTAGTACCGGACAATACTCCTTTCGTTTTTATCATTCGAGCTAGCGGGTACTTCAAGTACCACATCAACTTCGGGAAAAATAGCAAACATAGAGGACTTGGTCTGGTACTTTAAACATCGGACCGGAGTGTTGTAAGAAAAGTCTTACATGTCGTACTTGAAGTACCAAAAGGGTTAATTTGGGCAAAAATAAAATGGAAAAGTTTTCACAGGGTTACAGCCCTAATATAAGGGATGAAAAGTATATAATGAGACCATTTAATTTTTGCTATCACAATTAATCTTGACCATTGGATGTGAAATCGGGTGGCTGAATTTATTTTATTGACTAAGCTCAAAGTTCAAAAGAAATTTTTTCGAAATCTGTGACACACCTAAGCTACCAGATTTCACATTGTAATAATTGTGACCTCCTTGTACAAAACGTAAATGGTCTCATTGTATACAATCCCAATAAGTAAAGCCTCATCTCAAATCTCACTGAAAAATGCATTTTTGGAGTCAAAAGATCTTCACATAGATCATCTTAGCCTTGACGATTGTGGTTGTTAAAATTTCAAGCCATAAACATAATGTATATCATAGCACATCATCGAGACCATCCATTTCGTTTAAAAATAAGTATTTAGGGAGCTATAAGATCTGCGTCATTTTTTTGTTCAAATTTCATAGTCGGTATTGGAAAATAATTTATACTTTTGGATGAGAATTTGAGGTGAGGCTTTACTTTATTTTCCATAAATTTTAGGCCCGGTAAAAATTGCATCCAAAATTCCAAATAATACAAAGGAATCCTTACTTGTGCATAATTCAGGTTACTTTTTATTATGAAAAGGAAAAAGGCAGGCACGTTAGTTTGACTTTTAATTTTTCAAGGGGAAAAAGAAACTTGTTCGAGAACAATCCAGGTATTAGAGAAAAGTCTGTTGGGCATTTCAGTCCAGCAGAAATAATGATCACCAACCGGGGTAATTTAGATATTCCCGCAACATACAGGTTCAGAAAACTACCCACAAGTGACGGCCTATTTCAGATATTTCAGAAAGTAAACCAGGGTATTTTGGGAATACTAACCAGATCGTAGGCTTGCTGGGCGAGCAAAACCTTCTCCGTACACAGGCTCAAGGCATTGTCTTGGCTCATCTCGATGTCCTTTCTTAACTTTTCCATACCCTCATCTTCTTCCGAATTCCCTTTCTTGGACCCATTTCCACTCATGCTCAAGAAATACTTGGTCTGATCACGAGTTTGATTGATTATGGCTAAAAATAAAAAACCAGTCAAGAAACAAGATCAAACCCTAACCCTAGATCCGGAAAAAATGGAAACAGACAGACTCGATTACCTTGAGATCTTTCATCGAGCTCTCTCATGGTGGAAAGCAGCCTCTGGAGCTCCGCTGGTAACGTGCTCGAATCTGCAAATTCAACGAAAATTAGGGTTAGGGTTTTCGTAAAGAAGCACTAGATCGTTCGAAAGGATTGGACTGTCTGAATAAAGGTTAGGGCTTCTCATCACTCCAGAAATTTAGGTTGTTGCAAGAATATACAGAATAAGGAGTTAGATTTTGTGTGAGTGGCGGCAGCGTTTAGGGTTCAGGGTTAGGGTTTTATTCACCATGGAAACGGCAAGTTAGTTTTTATCAGAGATTAGGGTTAGGGTTTACATTCGAGATAGTCATCAACGAAGACTCCTGTTCTAGCAATCGCCATTGTTGAGGTCGGGAATTGCAGTAATGGAGGGGGACGATTTATTTTAGGGCAGTCTCTGAAACACCCCGGTTTTGATATGAAATATCGATATTGGTCTTCCTCGAAGGTGAAAGCCGTGACTTATTGGGAAAAGTCCAAATCTAAGTTACGTAGGGGAATTTTTTATGGTTTGGATAATGTTGTTAACTCGTTGAATAATTAATTGTCACATTTTTTTCTTTTTTCGCGGAACGTGTAATTAATGTTTTCAAATTTTCCCTATGTTTAATTTTGACATAAAATCATCTCAAGCCCCAACTTACTCATATTTTGAGTGACCACACCCCTTTACATCTCTTCCATCACCCTCTTGTTAGTTCTAACCACCTCTTTCTCTCTCTCTCTAAAATAATAATAAAATTTACTATTCAGGTCCAATCTCTCTCTCTAAAAATTAATAAAAATACATATTATTGAGGTCCAATAAGAATAATCCGTTGGGCAAAAAACCTAGTGGGTTTTTTTTTTTTGGGGATGGTTTGTGTAAGTTAATCTTAAATAATCAAAATAAGGTGCATCTCCAAGCTCTGATGAAAAGATGTAAATTTGATGGGGAAATTAATTGGATAGCTTGAAAATCTATTTTAATATCTAATTATGAAATTTAAAACTCTAGATATGATATTGATCGAAGAAACACTTCAAAAACTTGAAAATAGATGGTCCAGATAATGTGATGCGCTATTTTGTAAGACTTCGAATCTTTTCTTTTTTTTCTGCATCCATATATCTCAATATTGAGATGATCAAACAGGGAGCTTTCCAATGTCAGAATACTCTTTTTCAATAGATTTTTGGATGCGTCATACTTCTATGATATAAGGTTGACATCTTATATAACTTTTTTTCTTTTTTATATATATATAAAATTTTAGACTATATTGAAAAATCCCTAAATGATTATTTTCAAATGACTGCTTGAACTTTTCAAACGGCTTTTAGTTACAAGCGTAAATGTAGCGTTGAAGCAGGTCCTTTTGTTCTACTTTGCTTGATTTTATTCAACAACTTCATAGGACAAATAATTACTTAATTATGTTGATGTAGACATATAATAGGGGCTATCATTTGGAGTGACGGTAAAAGGCTCGAGTAGCCAGCGCAAGCCACTTTATGTATAAACCAAAGTTAGGATCGTTTCTAGCACACCCGAGACCAGCACCGGGTTAGAACTTTATTTATTTTATTTATTTATTAATGTACAGATAAAATCTGTTAAAGATGTGGGCTCTCTAAAGTTGGCCTGACTTTATTTAAGCCATTACAAGATCGGCTACCAGTAAAAGAACAAGATGGGGCTTATATCATGACAACATCGTGAGTAAATTGGTAGAAAACAACTAAAATGAAAGAAAGATTAATGTGATCATGTCGATGAATATTTTATTTTATTTTTTTCTTCTTTTTATCTATTTTCTTCTTCTTTTTATCTATTTTCTTCTTTTTTTTCTTTTAGCAAAGATCATTTATAAGTAGATCTTATTACAATAACTCTTGCTTTAAAGAAAATAAAACTAACAAATTAGGATCTTTAAAAACCTTGATGCCAGTAAACTAATTTTCTTTAAACAAATAAAATATCCACAATTCTTATGTTTGATAATATAAACACGATATAATTAAATATGATAAGAAACAAAAAGAGAGTGAACCAATTAAGTCTTGCTCAAGTCCCATTAGCTTGATCTGATGAGAGATAAGAGATAGATCAAAGAGAGAGGGAGAGATCTATTAGCAAGGGGATCATCTCCTTTGCTACCCAAAAATCAAACCACCACAAGCTATTTGCTACTAAAAAATCAAACCACTACAAGCTAACTTTAGCTTCGGCGCGCCATCTAGAAACAACGAGTGAAAGATAATTTGGGCATACCCTCTTAGAAAAAATTGAGAGAGAAAGAAGATAAAACGTAGAAAAACTTGAGAGAGAAAGAAGATCAAACTTGGGGTGTGCCTCTCCTTTGGTAATCAAGAGAGATAACTACATTTGGGTAAGGAGAGAGAGATAATTCTTAAAGAGATATGAGATAATATGTATGTCATTTTATGAAGGGAGAGACTTTCTTTTATATACTCTCTGTGTCTTGGGGTTTGCCTCAATTCATAGGGTTAAATCTTGACCGTCGATCTAAGGAGACTTGTGGGGTGAGAGATTTGAGTCATTCATCTGTTTGATTCATCAAGATTCGTAGATATGAGCTAGAGCATTATCATCATTTTCTTAGATCTATTTCCATCAAATCTTCAAATAGAGAAAGTATATATCTTATTTTCTATTTTAGTATATCCAGTCTTTATTTATTAGATCAAGCAATCTTACTTCAAAGATTTATTAAATATTTCAAATATTCAATCTTATGATGTAAGTTGGCTATCCCCAAACGATAAGCCAACAAGGGATAAACATTATTCCTAAGAAGAACACATGAATGGGTGGGGCGTGCCATCCTTTTGGTGGCCACGTGTGGCCCCACCTAATCCACATGCTTTTTAAATTTTGAGCTCTATATTTTATGGAGGTCTGATATATTTTTAAAAAATATTTTATTTCATATTTAGAATTTTTAAATCTATTATTTTATTTAAAACATTGAAAAATTATTTTCTCTTAATTTATAAATCCAAATGACAAAAATAAAATATCAGAAGATTCATAAAATTTCAAATAAATATTCTAAAAAAACATATATCATAAAATTAATTAAAACTAATTAATTTTTTTATGAGAATCGGATCCGTTAGATCTAAAAATTTATCAATATACGGGAGCACTCCACCTTCAACTGCGAACCACAATCCACCTAGCTTTATCAAACTGACCCAGCAGTTCCCATGACCCACAGTCCATTGCAGGGACTCATGATTGGACCACCAAAGTAGCCAATAGACTAAATGACACAAACTCAGTTTATTGATTTCAGGTTCTCCCCTAGAGACAAAAAATCATGATCCTTCAGACCATGATGCAACCATGACTTTATGGTGCATAGGGGTAATCTCTCGCACATGTACACACTTCACCCTCGTTGGTGAATATTAAAATGACTATCTATATATATGTCATGTGATGATATAACTATGAGGTTTTAGCCCTGTCTCTAAAGGTTATTCATCACACGTAAGGGCCGCACAGTCCCTTGGCTCTCATAAGTGCATACTCCGACCTCATCAATGGCTAAACCCTTCTTGATAGATCCATATGCCCAGGTATCTTGGGTTTTTCAAAACTCGGCTAGCCTAGTACGTCGAGCCTAATCCGAGGGCAAATCGTATTTGGCTAGTATGGTCTACAAGAGGACCACACTCCCACTGAGTTTATGTTTCACTATATAAAATGGTTATACAAGCTCTTATAAGGCCTTTAAATGCCACATAAACCTAACAATATGTACAGCTAGTTTAAAAAGTGTCATCGGTCAACCCAATCTTGAAGCCAGTGTTTAAATACCCAGATTGGTCTAGTAAACTGATGTTTTGGACTATCCATTGAGAGAATAAACCAATGAAAAATAAAATAAAAATTTGAAAAAAAAAAAAAATTTGTGGGAACTGAGCAAATCCACTGGGCTGGATGGCTTGATTCCTTAACAAAACTGGTTGATTTGCAGTTTCAATTGTGGAAAAAAACTACCCAACAATTCCCTATGCAGATCGGTCAAGTCGATCCAAATTGGCATTTAGTTCAAACATTGCTTGAAACTATGAGGT